TGTTGCCCAGGCTGGAGAGCAGTGGTGCAATCATGGTTCACTGCAGCCTCAACTTCTTGGGCTCAAGTGAGCCTCCCAGCTCAGCCTCCCAAGTGCTGGGAGCACAGGTGCTTGCCACCACACTCCATACTGGGCTAATTTTTTTTTTCTTTTTTTTGTAGAAATGGAGTCTTACTATGTTGCCCAGGCTGGCCTTGAACTCCTGGGCTCAAGTGATCCTCCTGCCTTAGCCTCCCAAAGTGCTGGGATTATAGATGTGAGCCACTGTGCCTAGCCCTGTTCTCTCTCTCTCTCTCTCTTTTTTTTTAATTGAGACAGAATCTCACTATGTTGCCCAGGCTGGTCTCAAGCTCCCAGGCTCAAGCTATCCTCCTGCCTCGGCCTCTAAAAGTCCTAGGATTATAACCTATTCTCTCTTTAAAGATATCCTACATGCTGGCCTAATTTATTTTGTGTTTATTTTTCTTTCTTTCTTTTTCTTTCTTTGAGATGGAGTCTGGCTCTATAGCCCAGGCTGGAGTGCAGTGGTTTGATCTTGGCTCACTGCAACCTCTGCCTCCTGGGTTCAAGCAGTTCTCCTGCCTCAGCCTCCCTAGTAACTGGGATTACAGGTGTACACCACTATGCCCAGCTAATTTTTGTATTTTTAGTAGAGATGGGATTTCACTATGTTGGCCAGGCTGGTCTCGAACTCCAGACCTCGTGATCCTCCCGCCTCTGCCTCCCAAAGTGCTGGGATTACATGTGTGAGCCACTGCGCCCAGCCTTGTGTTTGTTTTTCTAGTGTAGCTGCTGGAGTTGTCTTGTTTTTCTTCTTTTCCTGTCTGTTGCAGATGGCTTAGAGGCACACAAATGTGAACTCCTGATGGAGAGATGCAGTTTGGGTGGACAGATCTGTGCTGACTGAGGAGAACCTCTCTTCGTTTTCTTCTCTCTGATTTATTACTTGGTGTTTGACCAGGAGCTTTGCTTTTTCTCTCCACTTGTGAGAGAAGGGCACCAAAGCTGGCTTTCCTAGTTTTTGTTTTGTTTTGTTTTTGAGATGGAGTTTTGCTTTTGTTGCCCAGGCTGGAGTGCAGCGGTGCAATCTTGGCTCACAACAACCTCTGCCTCCCAGGTTCAAGTGATTCTCCTGCCTCAGCCTCCTGAGTAGCTGGGATTACAGGCATGTGCCACCACGCCAGGCTAATTTTGTATTTTTAGTAGAGACGGGGTTTCTGCATGTGGGTCAGGCTGGTCTCGAACTCCCGACCTCAGGTGATCCACCTGCCTTGGTCTCCTAAAGTGCTGGGATTACAAGCGTGAGCCACCGCGCCCAGCCTTCCGTAGTTTTAACACAAGGACTTTTTGAGGTACATCCTTACCTCTCTCTCCCTTCTACTTTCCTGTAGGGTAATCTGGAGGGAGAATTCGGACTTCTGCCATTTTCTGGGGCCTAGGATAAGGGCATAAAAGTCACATGACTAAACCATGAGCCCCTTCACACCAAACCAGCATTTCTTCTAAGACTATTTGAAATGTTAAACTTTAAACTTATGAGGGCAGGGACTCTGCGTGTCTTATTTAACATTATATCCTCAGGGTATATATGTATTTGGTATTTAGTTAATATTTGCTGAATACCATGAATGAGTGAGTTAATCTTGGTGGTTGAACAAGGATGACCCGCACCAGGCATGCTAGTCCTAACAGCATAACCCTAACAGCATACCATCCAATAGCATCATTTTAATCTCTGGAAATTACTTAGAACATTTTGATCTGGTTTCTTACAGATTCTCAATCTTGCTTCTGGTTCGTCTCTCTCTCTGTCTGTGCTCTCTGAGCTTTTCCTTAATTAATCTTTGAGCTTATGGCACATACTGCTTTCTAGCATGCCTGTCACAAATGGGATATTCTTGTTCTAAAAATTTTTTTAAATCTTTTTTCTTCCGCGGATTGCTGCCTCATGTTCTATGTGGTTTAGTTTATCATTTAACTTGAAATGAAAGGATGACTGGTTTGCTTCTAAAATAAATGTAGTTACTCATGAAATGCTTCTTGGGCTATTCCTGGGAGGATCCCTCTGTGAACTCCCTAACCGTGGTTCTTGGCTTCAAGTGTTAGGCCAGGCTGGGGAGCGTGATGGATGATGCTTGTCGGGAGTTGCCTATTTACTACCGTAGTTTCTGTACTAAGACATGACTTTGCTAAGCTGAAGTTGGGAATAAAATGAGTTCCCCAGGGAAAAACATACAAGACAGCATTTTCAGCCACTGAGGCCACTGAAAACTTTTTTTCTCTGACTACATATTTACAAATTCTTCATGATTGCCAAGTTTGAAGATCACAATTCATTTTCAGGTTTCTTGTATGTTACTCACTAAACCGTTTTTGTCTTGGGGATGAGAAATAACTATAGCATTTGACCAAATCATGTCACATCTCTGGAGCAGTTAATGGCTGGAGGTATGAAATATGATTTTCTCAATGTGGCAAGAGCCTAATGGGTTATGAACTGTGGAGGGCTGTGTGGTTTTCACTTATTTCAAAATCCTAGGCCAATGCCAGTGGTTTAATTCTGGCAGTTTTATTATTTTCTAATACAGCCCTGATCATTAGAGGCTTAAAGTCTTAAGTCTTCAAACTATCTCCCTAATTAATAACAACTAAAGTGCCAAGGGAGTGCCATTTTCACCTTCCAGCTAGTATTTGAGTGGAATTTTTTGGTCCCTTGTCATAGATTAAAAATACTGTTGATGTATTTGTTTCAAGTTATTAGTTCAAAGGTTTTTGTTTATTTTATTGATATTTAAACTTTTAGAAATTTTTCTTCTTAATTGGGCTGAGGTTTCGTCTTTTGTTTTGCTTTTGAGAACACTGAATTATATTTAAAAAATATAAATGAGGGTTGCTATCCACAGTTATAATGGGCCTCTGGGGGAAGAGGAATAGAAAAGACAGCTATACAATGTTTAACTTAGTAATAATAGAAAGACTGAATTTCTTTCGGGAGCAGGGAGTCTCTGTACATCTGAGTATGGGATAGAAGGTCACATAGCTTCTATGCATTACTTTTTTTCCCCCGGTGATGTTCCAAGGAGTAAGGAACTCCCTGGACATTCTGACATATACTGTCCCAAAGAGTGATATCTTCATATCCATTGTCCTTGTTATAGATTTTGTTTTTCAAATATAAGAGCGAAGAAATGGTAGATTTTGAGTCTTCATTCCTTTTAAGGGCCTAGGTTGGTTCTTCACCGAGTCTGTTGGTATCCTGTTCTGATATATATATTTTTTCTTTTTTTCCTTCTTTAGAAACATTCTTTTTTTTTTTTCCTGTTTTTTAGAGACAGGGTCCTGCTCTGTCACCCAGGCTAGAGTACAGTGGCATTATCATAGCTTACTGTAGCCTCAAACTCCTGGCCTCAAGTGATCCTCCTGCCTTGGTCTCCCAGAGTGCTGGGTTACAGATGTGAGCCACTGCACCTGGCTGGTGTCCTGATATACCTTCATAAATATTCTGTTGTAGAGGGAAGATTGGGCCAGGAGTTAGACTACTTGGGTTCTGGGCCACCTGTGGGATTTAAGGCAAAAATCATTTAACCTTTATGAGCTTCTTTTCCTTATCTGCAAGATGGGCTTGAAAACGTCTGTTCTGTCCTCCTCACTGCACTGTGTGTGAGGATGGATAGAGCAGCGGATTGGATAGCTTTGGAAAACCAAACAGTCCTCCAACTTCACTGTGCACCTGAGGATCTCGTTAAAAATGCAGATTCTCATTCAGTTGGCCTGAGGCGGGGCTCAAGATTCTGCATTTCTTTTCTTTTCTTTTTTTTTTTTTTTTTTTGAGATGGAGTCTCATTCTGTCCCCCAGGCTGGAGCACAGTGGCACGAACTCGGCTCACTGCAAGCTCCACTTCCTGGGTTCACGTCATTCTCTTGCCTCAGCCTCCTGAGTAGCTGGGACTACAGGCGCCTGCCACCACGCCTAGCTAATTTGTTGTATTTTTAGTAGAGACAGGGTTTCACTGTGTTAGCCAGGATCGCCTGGATCTCCTGATCTCGTGATCCGCCTGTCTCAGCCTTCCAAAGAAGATTCTGCATTTCTAATGAGTTCCCAGGTGAAGCTGCTGCTTTGAGTCCATACACCCCACTTTGAGAAGCCAGGTTCAGTCAAAAGCCTCGTGTTGTCAGGTGGGATATTATTGTCCCGGGGAAAGAGGCAGCCCACCTCAGCACAGAGCTTACCAGCACTAGCGTCTCTCAAATGGCCGGGATGTGGATCCCAGAGGCCCTGGGGCAGTGAGGCAGGGCAGGGATGGCTGGAGTCTTGAGTATCCCTGGAATACCAAACATACGGTCATTTTCGATGTGTGCTATGAGGTGGACCCGTTAGGGAAGCGCCACACAGTCTTCACAGATCTCTCGCTGGTTCTGTGAGATGTGGACTTGAAGATGGGAAAGAAGGGATGTGGGGGCAGGTGGGAGGTGGAGGTGGTGAGGTGGTAGGTTTGAGAATATAGAGGGTTTCATGAGCAGAAATTCGTTGTCTCAGATGGAAGAAGCTGCCCTGAGGGCCTGTGTGTTCTCTGTGTTCCCCCGGAGATTCCCCCTGCCATGGCGGATGGCCGTCACCCCCTCTTCCTGTGCCCATGCCTCTTCCTGAGTTCAGAGTTATGCCACTGTGGTTTTAGTTAGAAAAATCAAGTGTCAGGCATTTATATTTGTATGCTTATTAGATACTGTTTTTTCTTTTCTTCTTTTTTCTTTTCTTGTTTTAGAAAACTTAAAAAAAAAAAAAACAACTTTCCAAAATGTCAAAAGAATGATATGTGTGTATATTTACAAAAAAATGCCTGTATTTATCATTTATCTTTGCCCTTGTTGAATGTTAGAAAATTTTCGTTTTGTTCAGTGATAGCCCAAGCCTGGTGTACAGTAGGAGTTCAAAAAATATGTGTTGGATATTCAATGACTTGATTACTGATTGCAGTGCTTATTTTCTCTTCATCCGCTAGATGTTTATTCTTTTCAAGAAGAAGAACCTGTTTTGGATCCTCATTTGGCCAAGCACTTAGCGCATTTTGGAATTGATATGCTTCATATGCATGGGGTGAGGTCTCCTTTTGTTTCTGTTTCCACCTTACATGGGGTAGGGGTGGGGAGAGGGCGAGGGAACTGCTTGATTTATTTAATATATAATTCCTCTAACGTGGATCTTCATTTTATAGGTTTTAGCTTTTAATTGTTGCATTTACTTCTTGCACTTAATTAATAGATGTTTTCTTTTGATTGCCAGCTTAGATTTTTTTATGCTGTAATAAAAATGGCACCTCATCCAATACTCTTTTGGTTTAGTTGGAGTTTACTTGCAAAATTAGTCTCCTTTGATGGGCAGTTGTGTGAATCATTCTTTGTTCACGAAGCGCAGATGGTGTAGGGAGATGACCTTTAAAATTATCTGCGACCAACATCACTTTAATTAATTTCAGGAAGGGAAGCAAAGCTCCTAGGGGACAGAACGAATAAACCAACACATTACCATTGATAGAGAAGCTCTGCTTCATTTAATATTGTGTTTTCAAGTTGATGTCATGACTATATAATATTTTTCCCTTTAAGGAACTATTTAAATGTGCATTTTGTTTTAGCCCTTTCCTTCCAGGCTGCCTCCCTCTCTTCATGTTCCCATTCTGCTTCCTCTTTGTCACTCATTTCTACTTTTTTGTTTAGTTTTCTGTGCTCTTCTTTGCACCTCCATCTTCTTTCACGGCACTCTCAAGTCTCATGGTTTTAGTCCATATCCTCTCCAGCTGCCTGACCTTTTTGTTTGCTGTGTTGCATTGAATATTCTCTTGAATTTAGTCTACTTGCTTCTTTTTTGATTCCTATTTGTTCTTCATCCTCCTCCTATCTCTTTCCCTTTCAGTCTTTCTCTCTTTAAAATCTTTTTTTTTTTTTGAGATGGAGTTTCGCTCTTGTTGCCCAGGCTGGAGTACAGTGGCGTGATCTCAGCTCATTGAAACCTCCGCCGCCCGGGTTCAAGCAGTTCTTCTGCCTCAGCCTCCCGAGTAGCTGGGACTACAGGCATGCACCATCACATCTGGCTAATTTTTGTATTTTTAGTAGAGACAGGGTTTTGCTATGTTAGTCAGGTGGGTCTCGAACTCCTGACTTCGAGTGATCCGCCCACCTCGGCCTCCCAAAGTGCTGGGATTACAGCTGTGAACCACTGCGCCTGGCCTCTCTTTAAAATCTTTTTCATGTGTATTTTAAAAATTGTGGTAAAATATATATAATATAAAAGCTACCATTTTAACTATTTTTAAGCGTGCAGTTCTCTGGCATTATGTACATTCACATTGTTGTACCACCATCACCATCTCTCAGTCTTGTTTATTTCTCTGTGTAATTGGGGGAAAAATGGTAGAAACATCCTATGCTATTAGAAATAATTAATGGGACATGACCTTTGAATGGGAATCACATTTAAAGTTGTTTTTCTTCAATGACTTTGTCTCAGACAGAGAATGGGCTCCAGGACAATGACATCAAGCCGAGGGTCAGTGAGTGGGAAGTGATCCAGGAGTCGGGCACGAAGCTGAAGCCAATGTATGGTCCTGGCTACACGGGTCTGAAGAACTTGGGCAACAGCTGCTATCTCAGCTCTGTCATGCAGGCCATCTTCAGCATCCCAGAATTCCAGAGAGCGTAAGTGCCTTCCATGCAGACCAGGGCATGCAGCACCGCCCTGCCCCATCTAGGTCCAGTCCACTCAGTGTGTGCTGCGAAGCCCATCTTTATTGCTTCAGGACATTTTGCCACCTTTTCTCTGGCCTGCCTTCTACAGAGACTGGGTGAGAACATTTGTCAAGTATTATGGGGATCAGGTGAGATAAGAAGAGCTTTGTGGCTGGGCGCAGTGGCTAACGCCTGTAATCCCAGCACTTTGGGAGACTGAGACGGGCAGATCATGAGTCCAGGAGTTCGAGACCAGCCTGACCAACATGGCAAAACCTGTCTCTACTAAAAATACAAAAATCAGCCGGGGGTGGTGGCATGAATCTGTAATTCCAGCTACTCAGGAGGCTGAGGCAGGATCACTTGAACTCGGGGGGCAGAGGTTGCAGTGAGCTGAGATCGTGCCACTGCACTCCAGCCTGGGTGACAGCACGAGACTCTGTCTCAAAAAAAAAAAAAAAAAAAAAGAAGAGCTTCGTAAACTGAAAAGCACCATACAGGGGTTTGTTATTAATAATGGTTTCTGCTTTTTGACCATCACCCTATATACCAAGAATATGTTAATCATTAACCTTCACAGCAGGTCTGCCAATTCCCTCCTACAGATGCGCTAGGAGAGATCCAGTGATTGGTCTGGTTACTGTCTGTCTTGTGGTGGACTGGAATTTCCTCAAGGATTTAGGGCTTTCATTTTTTGCTACTCAAAGTGTGGTTCATAGGCTGGTGCTGCTCCTTGTACTGCTGGATATGGGCCTGCAATGAGATAAGTTTGGAAATCGAGAGTGAGCGCTGGGAAACTGTAACAATTTGACGTTGCTGTTGTGTCTTACAGCGGCATTTCATTTTTCTAATAATTTCTGTATTTTTAAACTTTTTTTAATTTTTAATTATTATGGGTACATAACAGGTGTATATATTTATGAGGTATATGTGATATTCTGATACAGGCATGCAGTGTGTAATAATGACATTGGGGTAATTGGGATATTCGTCACCTCAAGCATTTGTCATTTCTTTGTATTAGGAACATTCCAATTTCATTCTTTTAGTTATTTTAAAATATACGACAGATTATTGTTGACTATATTCACCCTGCTGTGCTATGAAATACTAGATCTTGTTCATTCTAATTATACTTTTGTACTCATTAACCATCCTACTTGTATTTTTAAAAGGTATCATCTGTCTGAGTTGAAGTAAACAAAAAAACTGACCCTTTACCACAGATAATTTGAGAGGCACTGATTTAGGTACTCCCTGACTGTGCTTGTACAAGACTGCCTTCCTCCTCCCACACCGAGGGGCACAGCAGCTATGTCCATGGCTGTTTTCTTCCTTGGGTGTACTAAGGACAGGGAGCTATAGAGCCCAGGAGCTGTGGCTGGTGCACTCTCGTGCAGCCACTGCCTAATTGTAGAGAATCATCCTAGTGTGTTCCAGAGGTAGGTTTCCACCTTACTTTAAGTGTGGAAGAGGACATGTGTGTGCTGAGACAGGCAGACAGCATATCAGGAATAGTCCAGGTCATGTTTTACCCACATGGAGTTGAAATCCTAATGGCTTTAATGGAGGTTTATCAAAAGTTTGTCACATACCCTTCTCTTTCCTCTCTTGGTGTTTGGAGACGTACCTCTTCTTGCTGTTTTCTGGCTTTGAAAATTTGTGGTCCATTTTCCATGTCTATTTTTCATTTTTTCATCCAGCCAATAGAGAGTGAGTTCTTTTCTGCTAAGCAGTGTGCTGAGTGTGTGGGGGTCAGTGGTGAGCAGAAGGACATGGTCCTCACTCCCGGGCGTGAAGTAAGCAGGAGATGTAGGCATTAAGAAAATAATCATAGGAACAACTGCATGCTTATAAACGTGGTACATTCCATGAAGGAGAAAGGAAGGAGGTGGTCAGAGAGGAGCCTGTGGAGAAGGGACACACATCGTGGTGCACGTGTAGGAGGAGTGAAGACAGAGGCTCTGTGTTTTTGAGAATTTAGTATTTGAATCTCTCCCTAGTCTTGTTTCAGGAGTCTTAGAATTTTATGTTATCTGGTATTTTACATTCTCATTTTATTTTCTAAACATTTACTGGATATATTAGAACATGAGCAATGAACTATTCATATATGTCTTCAGTCTTTTCATCCTTTGACCAAATATCACTGGATTGAAATACTTGTTCTTCTCATTTCTTTTTCGTCAACAGGTCTAACTCAGTGGAGTTAGATTCAGGAGCAGTGTCTTCCTTTTGAAAGTAGAAAAAGTGACTCAGGGCCTGGCACGGTGGCTCACACCTGTAAACCCAGGACTTTGGGAGGCTGAGGCAGGAGGATTACTTGAAGCCAGGAGTTTGAGACCAGCCTAAGCAGCAAAGTCAGATCCCATCTCTACAAAAATGAAAAAAAAAAAAAAAAGCCGGACATGGTGGTGCACACCTATAGTCCCAGCTACTCAGGAGGCTGAAGTGGGAAGATTGCTTGAGCCCAGGAGTCTGAGGTTGCAGTGAGCTGTGACTGTGTCACTATACTCTAGCCTGGGCAACAGAGTGAGATCCTGTCTTTAGAAAAATAACAAGGGCCGGGCACAGTGGCTCACGCCTGTAATCCCAGCACTTTGGGAGGCCGAGGCGGGTGGATCATGAGGTCAGGAGATCGAGACCATCCTGGCAAACACGGTGGAACCCCGTCTCTACTGAAAATACAAAAAAATTAGCTGGGCGTGGTGGTGGGCGCCTGTAGTCCCAGCTTCTAGGGAGGCTGAGGCAGGAGAATGGCGTTAACCCGGGAGGCGACAGAGTTTGCAGTGAGCGGAGATTGCGCCACTGCACTCCAGCCTGGGCGACAGAGCGACTCCGTATCAAAAACAAAACAAAACAAAACAAAACAAAACAAAACAAAATAAGAAGGCCGGGCACAGTGGCTCACTTCTGTAATCCTAGCACTTTGGGAGGCCGAGGTGGACAGATCACCTGAGGTCAGGAGTTTGAGACCAGCCTGGCCAACATGGTGAAACCCTGTCTCTACCAAAAATACAAAAATTAGCCGGGCATGGTGGTGCATGCCTATAATCCCAGCTACTCGGGAGGCTGAGGCAAGAGAGTTGCTTGAGCCCAGGAGGCAGAGGTTGCAGTGAGCCGAGATTGCTCTACTGCACTCCAGCCTGGGCGATGGAGTGAGACTCTGTCTCAAGAAAAAAAAAAAAAAAAAAGAAATAAACAATAAGAAGAAAATTAAAGAAAGAAAAAAAAAGAAAAATGACTCAGAAAGATTAACTGGCTTATGAACAGCCATAGTGTAATTTGGGAACTTGGCCTGATTCCTTGGTACCCTGTGTGCCACTTGCACCTAGTTTACATTTCAAAATAATTTTTATTGAGGATTGAATCTAAATAAACTGGTATACAAATGGAGTGACAACCAAGATAGATTGCTAGATAGCGAAACTACATCTTTTTAAGAATTGCTAGATTACAAACAGGAGGTATAACATCTATGAAAATTATCTAGCGTCACTTCTGCATTTTAATTTAATTTTGTTATAATGGAAGATTTCCTTCATCAGTTAGAAAAGGGATTTACATTGATAGCAAAATGGACTTCTCTCTTTTTCTCCCTGACCTCAGGTGCCAGCAAAGTGAACTTTTCTGACATCAAAGATTTATTCTTGGCTGGGCACGGTGGCTCATGCCTGTAATCCCAGCACTTTGGGAGTCTGAGGTGGGCAGATCACTTGAGGTCAGGAGTTCGAGACCAGCCTGGCCAACATGGCAAAACCTCGCTCTACTAAAAAATTAGCCAGGCATGGTGGTGCACGCCTGTAATACCAGCTACTTGGGAGGTTGAGGCAGGAGAATTGCTTGAACCTGGGAGGCAGAGGTTGCAGTGAGCCCAGATCGTGCCACTGCACTCCAGCCTGGGCGAGGGAGTGAGACGCTGTTTTGAAAAAAAAAAAAAAATTATTCTCTTTACTCTTCTGTCTATTTTGCCTTAAAGTGTAAGCCTATTCACTAGTGTTCATCATTCCAGTGAGGTTTTTTTGTCTTGTCAGGTTTTGAGATGTGATTTAAACTGGATCATAAAAGAGCTTCTGAGTTCATCATGCTATGTATTGTTAGGAATTCTTCAGTGTAGCCCCTGCATCTAAATAGTTTAGCTCTGAAGTTCGGTTTGTGTCTTGTTTGTCCTTTGAATGGGACTGGCCCAAAGAAGCACGCTCTGTTAATTTTGATGTAGGTACGTAATCTAAGCTACAACAACTTGTGGACAGCAGGTGCCTAGAAGTTTCTAGTAGTTAGGGAATCCAATTAGAGGTCATTGCCAACTAATAGTGTATCATGCTTCTCTGCTAGGGCTTCATTGCCATAATGCCTTTTCTGTTTGGTTATTGTACTCAGTTATGAAAGTTAATTGTGTGATTGTGTGACATAAATGTATTCATTGAACAAATATTTATTGAGTGTCTTTTACATGTCAGATGCTGTTCTTGTGCTGGAGATGCAGTGATTTAGATAAAGTTGCTACCTTAATGAGATGACATTCTAGTATATAATCTCTGGAAAGACAGATACTAAACAAGATGTATTAGTCTGTTCTCATGCTGCTAATAAAGACATACTTAAGATTTGGTAATTTATAAAGGAAAGTGGTTTAATTGACCCACAGTTACCCATGGCTGGGGAGGCCTCACAATCATGGCAGAAGGCAAATTAGGAGCAAAGTCATGTCTTGCCTGGTGGCAGGCAAGAGCGTGTGCACTTGTGCAGGGGAACTCCCATTTATAAAACCATCAGATCTCGTGAGACTTATTCATTCTCATGAGAACAGCATGAAAAGACCTCCCCCATGATTCAGTTACCTCCCACAGGGTCCCTACCACCACACATGGGAATTATGGGAGCTGCAATTCAAGATGAGATTTGGGTGGGGACACAGCCAAACCATATCACAAGTAAATTGTAAAATTGCAAATAGTGATGCATGCTAAGAAGAAAGTCAGTCAAAAG